TCTAAAGTTAATTGAAAAATGAGATGAAATGAAATCCTAAGACAGACATAAAAAATTCATTCAAATCATTGAACGAAAAGATTGGAAACAAAACATCTCATATCTAAGGGATGGGCACTGACTTGCATTTACATACACTCTCTTAGACCTAACCCTTAAATACATTTACATTATTTCATCGATTTATATTAGATTTTAGGAGTTTTCCCGTTAAACTCAAAAGCATTAATAAAATTAAATAAAAAATAAAACAACAAATCTATTCATTTTGTAATAAAACAATAAACTTGTCATCGATTTTATATTAATATCAATATTATATAAAACCGAAGGATTAATAAATTTCAATGATATATAAATAATTCAAAAAAGTATTAAGAAAACCCTCATTAAGTAATGCATTGAATTGTTAGATAAGACATTTTAAAGGCAGTCCTATTTCATAGGCATAAGTCATTAAAATGTTTGCTTTGAGATAATGAATGAATAGAAGTGAACAGAATTCCTCATTCAATCACTATTTAATAAACTTTAGACTAAAATTTAATATAATTGACTGAAAATTCAACACAAAGAATGAATGGGAATGAATGCGAACAGACCTGCGAGATGTGTGATGGGAAACATGGGAGCGATTGTGACCAGTAGTATAGCAAATGAGACACTGATGAACAGTTTGCGGAGTACAGGCCACTAGAAGATGGGAACCAAACAAATGGTTTAATATAAATAAATCAAAATAATCACAACATAACAAATGTGTGATGCCTTGCGGTACAGACCAGAGGGGATGGCATCTGCTTTGTGGACAGTTTGCTTTGTAAGTGTCGCTCAAAGTTTTTGCCGTTTATAAATTCGATGTAATCGTTGTAAAAGACTAACGGACCGCACATTAGCGTTGAATATTGAAACACATAACTGTAATACTCTAGAAATGTGGGCCTTTTTCTGTAGAAACAAACAAAATTCATTCATTATTTAATCGATAGTAAGAACTAAACAATGAATACCTAATGGCATAACGCTTTTGATCGGCAGTTAACTCGTCCTCAGATTTGGATAATCCGTCGTGAAGACTGAACCCAACGTTTGTCACCTTTTGGACAGCAATCATGATTGGACTGTCAAATCAATACTAATCATTAAATGTCATTTCACACATTATACACCAATATATTGCATGTCATACCCAGTGATGTCTATCGTATACCCGCCGTAATCGTGGAAAAGTCTTAATAAATGTAAATATGATAAATACATGAGCGCTACGAACAGCACCACTCTTTGCACCACATTTGGACTACAGGTAAGTATTGCTATGTATGACAATGTCGTCAATATCAATAAATTGTATATTTGCCTGAAATGAATCAAATAAACAACTATTTAAATCAATTATACATTTAAATGGATTGCACCACATTTGGACTACAGGTAAGTATTGCTATGTATGACAATGTCGTCAATATCAATAAATTGTATATTTGCCTGAAATGAATCAAATAAACAACTATTTAAATCAATTATACATTTAAATGGAATATTTAGGGTAACATTATATCAAAAATATATAAATTATTTAGTAAATGATCATTATCAACTATTTAAAGTATTTGACATTTGCAAGAATAATTTATAATTCTATCTTATTACTGTTAATAAATTAGCAATGTTGTTCGTACAAACATTTTGCCAATACTGTGTTGCATAATATTAATTTAATTAGCAGCATGCACATTTAAGTTTCTGAATTTATATACTTATATACGAAATTCGTTAATTATTAACAATTTCTATTTTAAAAGTATTTTTTGTCATTGTTTTTATAATAGAAATACTATAAATTGTATAACATATTAAAAAATAAAGTAATAAAATTGTAAAAATAGACTAGTAAATAAGAATTGGATCAAAATGTATACAAGATCTTAATGTTTTCATGAATTGCATTTATTTGTAATAATTTACAATGCATTCAATCACGCAATGAGTATATCGTCAAAAATATTTACAATCATTGCAAAGGAAATAATGGAAACACGAATACATGCTATCATTCATTACTTTCCATTTTTAATGTTTTACAGAATATTCTACACGTAATCTGTAATTGAATTTTTTGATCCATAAATTTATACATTAATAAATAATTAAAAATCATTTCAACGAAACCAATACTAATTTGTCAGACATTTGTTTCAGACTTGTTATCAAACATACAGTATGTCTATTTTAATTATTCAATAATTTAATAAATAATATAAAATTGATACTAATAAATTGATAAAGTATTTTTATTTTCAAAATTTCTAGTTCAGACAAAATTGAGACACGAAAACATTTTTAAATATAATAAATGTTTGCTTTTTAGATAGTTTTAAAG